GGCACAGCAGACCTCTCCTGACCTCGCCCACTGCTCCCCTCAGCAGTGTGTTTCAGTACATCTGCCTGTTCTGTCCCCCACTCTGTCTCTGGTGAATCCTCTCACCCCCCCATACCTCTGACCTATACCCCAGTTCTTGTATGCATACATAAATAAATCTTTAAAAAAAGAAAAGAAGAAAAAAAAAATCAATCTACATAGGCAGAGACAGAGGTGGTGACCCTATCCATAAAGACAGATATGGAGATCTGCCCACAATGGACTCTGTGGCTCAGACCCTGGGAAATTCAGCCAAGAGTGAAAGAGAGATGACCTAATTTCAGTGAAGGAGAAAGATCACAGTATCCCAGAACCTTCATTCCATGAGAGGAGAGCTACTGGGTTCCTTTCCCTTCCCACCTGGATTTGCAAGCTGGACAACGAGCAAGAATTGGCTCCTTAAGTGCATCAGGGGAGGGGATAGCATTGAATTGCTACCAGGGGCAAAACAGCTGCTCCACAAAACTTCCTCCTTCCCCATTTGCCAGGGAAAGTGTATTGCCATACACGCATGGCTAGTTAGACTGTATACCATCCCTAAAGACAGCATCCACTACAAACATGTCACCATTAGAACTAAGGACACAGATATAGGGCATGTCCCGAATCTATTTGAGAATAAATTCTCCATTTAACATTGGTTCAGGTGGTTCTGTGAACACAGGAGTAAACATTGACTTCCCATATACTGGGCAACAGCATCTTAAGGCCTAATTTTTCCCTGGATGCTGTGATATACATACAGGTGCCCTATCTGGCCCTGAAATCAAGGTGTAGGACCTGCTCAATGTCAGAAAGCCAGTGAGAGGACAAGGGAGCAGGCGGGCATGCACTCAGGCCTATTATGATCAAAGGCTCCAATCTCTTTAGTTTCAAGTTTGAGCACAAGCTGGATCTGAAACAGGCACAAGAATGGTCTCTGTGTGAAAAAGCAGGACAGAGAAACAGCCCTATAAATTACTGACCATGTGAGCATGGGTGCGAGTGCTGATGACATCAATTAGGAGAGGTGTTGGGTTCAGAGAACAGGGTCTTTGGGTTACCTCTGAGGAAAACAGAGCTCCCTTAGTGGCACACAGCGAGTTTCCCACGAGGCAGAGACTTTTAGTCATATGCAGAAGAGCGAGTTTCCTATATTAAAAAGGAAAGGATGCCTGCACAGACACAAGTGGGCAGAAAGAGCCACCCATGAAAGGGACAGCTTTGTTAAAGAGACACCTGCATTGACACAGGCGGGAAGGAGAGCTGCATTTTTTCCAGTGCAGAAATAGTACTGATAAAGTCTTTTGTGCAGGGATTCATTTCTTTGTGTAATTGTTATCTATTCTTACATTACTTCTAGGGTGTTACTAGACTGATTTATAAGGACCAGGGATTCTCTCCAATGGCCCTCCATCTCCACATCCTCACCTCTCGCCTGCTTTCTGATACTTGCTACAGCAGTTGGTGCCTAAGGAGTTTTCATTTCTATAGTTGGTTTAACAACTATGTTCATTATTTCTACCCCCCCTCCAGTTTTTGGAATTGTGACACCTCCATCCTAAATTTTCTTCTCTTAGCTTCCATCACTCATGTGAAAGACACCATTTGAGAGCAAAGGCCATGGACAGGAGTCACTGTGCTAGGGAGAACCTGTCCTCCCTGGGGTCTTCCATGCAGAACATGCCCAACCTCTTTTTCTGGAAGCCTTTCATCCATCTCCAATTTGGGGATCCAAATGAATAGCACTAACTCTGAAGACACTGGCTCCAGCCTCTAAATTTTCTGGGCCACCTTCCCAGTCTATCTTATCAAGTTACCCTCTGTTCTCTTCTAAATCTCAGGATTCCACCTTCCTCAAAAGACACATGCCAATGATGATGTCATCCCTTCTGAGTCCCCTGAGTCCCCCCACACAGAGCCAAGATCCTCACAAGCACTTACTCTTCCCTCCTGCCTTCCTCCTTCACAGGACTCTTCCAAGTCCTTTAAGAGTCAGCTCAAATGCCACCACCTCTCTGAAAGTATTTATGTCTTCCACCCTCCCCTGAATCACAAACACTATTTTTCCTATACTCACACTACCCAATGCTCTCTGGTCTCTGCTCAGTCTTTCCAGCAAGTCTCAGAGACCCTGAAATTGGCACATAAAGGATAGCTACAACGTTCTAAGCTTCCCCAAACCCAAAATAGATAATGGGAGGCTTCCCCAGAGGTGATCTGATAGAGGGGAAATAAGGTTCCCTCTCCCCATCCCCGCTTCCACAGCAGGGAAATGCTGAAGCTTTAGGCAGTGTGCCATCAGTCCTGATTAGGTCCCTGACATCACTTGCCAGAAGTCCAGACCATTGAGTCCAGAGTCTACTGTGTAGGTTAACCTGACAATCACTCTGGAATAAGGCAGAAAGAGTTTGCTGCTTGGGGTGGACAGTGCTACAGAGAGAAACACTGGAGTGGGATGGTCAGCTAGAGTCTAAGAGGAGGAGGCTGTTGTCTCATGGAGACAAGATGCCTATCAGCTATGGCAATGAGCTCAAATAAATGAGTGGCATATGTCATTTGGCAAAAATAATGGCTACCTCCAGCAATCACTTACCATAATGAGGCTAACCAAATTTTGTTAGTGAAAAGAGATAGTTTTAACTACTGTCTGTTGTGCCAATGGCTATATACTACTTTAAAATTATTAAGCAATTACATGCCAAATATCTTCAACAGGGTAAAAAAAAAAAAAAAAAAAAACCTTTACCAGTAACCACTGTAGCTTATATCAATAACCACTAGCATGAGATCAATTGAAAGTCTGCAAAATTAGCATGTCACAAAATTAAGTTTTATCCCACCCAAATCCTCCCTGCAACAATTACATGGGGAGAGCGTCAAATAAAATGACAACATTGAAACAATTCTCTTTGCCCTTGCAAGATTTCCTGCATAGGTCATAACTGTCTTAGTAAAATTCTGTGACTATCTTTTTAAGTGTTGCAATGTAACCTTTCCTTTTCCCAAGGTCTCTGGTGCCTGGCCCTTTGTCGCCCCCTAGAGATTTTTGTGCCTTTTCTCAAACTGCAAGGACGGGTTGGCTCTCTGAAGAGGAGGACCATGCAGGCTTAGACATTGTCTAGGCTTCCCCATCCACTGCTCCGTGATAACACTACAAAACGGTGCCATGCTGAGATGGGCCAGGGCTCCATGTGTAACATTGTACTAAACAGAAAGGCAGACCTGTCACCTCAGGAATCTTTTGATAAAGGACCGGTTCAATTTCAGAGTCAAGGTCTCCATGGCTATTTAAGGAACAAATGTAACCCCAACAGATTTGTTTTGTTTCCTTTAATTTCCCAATGAAATTGGAGGGTCTGTTCTTGGCTGTCAAAGCAGATAACATACAACTACAACAACGTGTGCAGGAGAAAGGAAAGAGCCAGCAGGACAGGCATTCCCTGGATTAAGATAAGCAGGACCAGTTTAGTCAGTCTGGACCTAGGGGGATATGAGTTCTTCATGCCTTTGTGGGACTAGAGCAGGCCAGGATCCCCCTCTATTTGTCTCTGGTCTCTTTTCCTTTGTAAGGTTCAATTGTTACTATTTATTTATTATTTATTAGCTATGAGTAAACTGGTCTTCCCATTGTAAAAAGAGTGTATATATTAGGGATACGGACGTATACACACGTAAACCTACACATACAGAAAGGGGGCAGCGGGGGCGCAGCGCGACACGTGGGTGAATGCTCACTTCACCTGCCCAGGGCTGCTGTAGTGGTCTGGGCTGGGGCGTCTGGGGAAAAGGGGGACGCCTGAGGGTCCTGATTTGTCGTATCCACCACAAACTGCAGAAGACTCCACCTCCTACGACAAGGATCCATTTTCAGCAGCATCCAGGAAAGTCCCCTCCCGCAGTGGTCTCGCTGGTTTTCACTGCTGATCACATACTCTTAGTAAGAGCCCTAAAAAGTGTAATTCTCAGTTCAATCTTGGAGCACGAGCGTCATCTCTCGGTCACCTAGGGAAGGGCGCGAAGACAAGTTTGAAAGACCCGCAAGGAGCGGGCTGGCTCGATTCAGCGCGCCCACCTGGGGCTCGCGCACCGGTGCAAAGTCTCACAGACGAACAAGAATTCCAGAGACCTTGGTACAAGCACACAAAACGACCTAGAAAGATGAAGGTGAGAACAGCCAACTTTAAAGACTATCTGACTATTAATCACACTTCAGTAGTGCCCGTTTTATTTTTTATTGCTATTGTTCTTTTGTGGTGGGTGTAAGCTATTTAAAATCTCCAGCAAGAATATCTAAAGCAAAGTTTTTTATGTCAAGTGTTTGAGAAGCTCTGTCCTAGAAACCCTCTCTCCGCAGGCCCCCTTTGCTAACTGGGAACTTGTGGTGAAACAGCAACTATGAGCCTTTACTTGAGAAGGGAACCTGGAAAGGGGCCAAGGCCGCGCGCTCACTTATAGATGTGTATTTGTAGGGCCTGCGGGGTGGGAGGGATGCGAACACCCACCACCCCCTGATGCAGGGGAAACCAGTGTGCCTTGATTCCCAAGACCCCGCAGCGAATAGGTCCCGTTCAGAAATGTGCTTCCGTTTCCCCTACCCGACGACTTAAACTTTGGAGAACTTTGCAAAGTACACCTAGGTGAGGAGCGGCGCAAGCAAGTTTCACCAACATTACTCAAGGGCGCAGTGGGAAAAGGGCAGCAATGTGGGGGTGGCCAAGGGCGCTCGGGTGGCTTGGCGCTCCGGACGCGCCGCGCGGGGTTTCGGGGGATAGCGGTGGCGGTGACGTACGGCGTGCGCACGGGAAGCAGGTGTCCGGGCGGAGGCGCGCTGCGCGCCCCCTCCTTCAGCCCGGCGCCTAGGGCTAGACGCCCGCCCCCCTCCTCCCCCCACACCCTGGCGCGGCGTTCCGGGGCGTGTCCTCGGCTACCATGGCTTTTATATAGAAGCCGGCGGGCCCAGGTCACCCAGATGCAAACGCGACGAAGCGGCGCTGAGGACTGGCCGCCAATTGCCTCGCAGCCTCCCACACGCTCCGTAGCTCTGTTCCCGTGCGCCCCGGCCGGCCGAGCAGAGGGCCCCCGCCGAGGGCGCCATGCAGCGGGCGCGAATCGCGCTCTGGGCTGCAGCGCTGACCGCGCTGTCGCTGCTCCGTGGGCCGACAGTGGCGCGGGCTAGCGCGGGAGCGGCGGGCGCGGGGCCAGTGGTGCGATGTGAGCCCTGCGACGCGCGCGCGCTGGCTCAGTGTCCGCCGCCGCCAGCTGCGTCCGCGTGTGCGGAGCTGGTGCGCGAGCCGGGCTGCGGCTGCTGCATGACGTGCGCGCTGCTCGAGGGCCAGCGGTGCGGCGTCTACACCGAGCGCTGCGGCGCGGGCCTCCGCTGCCAGCCGCCGCCCGGCGAGCCGCGCCCGCTGCAGGCGCTGCTGGACGGCCGAGGGCTCTGCTCCAACGCCAGCGCCGCCGGCCCCCTGCGTGCCTACCTGCTGCCCGCGCCGTCCGCTCCAGGTGAGCCGCCGCGCCGTCTGGGGGCCCGGCGACCCCAGCCCGAGGGTCCGGGCGGGAGCGGTGCCGCGGTGGTCACTCTGCTGCTCCTTGCCCGCTGAAAGTTGTACTTGGGAAAACCGAGCCCCGGAAAGGCGAAGGCGCCTTCGCAGCCGGCCCTCTACTCGCTCGGTTCTCCGAGCTCGGATTGCTTATAAATTACAAAGTTCTGGTAGCGAAAATGGTAAAAGATTTTCCGGGGCGGGGAATGGGAGAGGATATCAAGAGTAGAGGTCAGGTGAAAGGTCCTAGACAGACGAGATTCTCGTGTACGAAAGGCCAGAGCGGCGCGGAACGTGGGCTTGGACTGTGCAACCTAACAGGTGGAACGTGCCCTTTCCCCTGAGAGCTGGGAGCTCGTGTTTCAATCCTGAGGATGCTTAGCGGGAGGCACCAGGGGCCGGATTGGACCGGGAAAAGTGGACTGGCACATTGTAGGTAATGCTACCTATCTTTAAACATACCGGTATTTTACGGTTTGCAAAGCAATGTCACTTTCCGGGGTGTCGTAGAACGAGCGGGCTGGGAATTGGATTTTCGTGTCTTTTGCGGTTGGAAACCTTAAGTTCAGAAAGTGACTCTTCCAGTTCCCCCTTGGACAGGGAGGAGAGCAGGACTGAGTCCCACTGGAAACTTTCTGCATCCTCCCTTGTCTATACCTGGTGCTTGTGTGGCCCTCAGACAAGACCAGGTGTGTGCGTTGCGGGATGTGTGGAACTTTGAATTTCCATTGAGAGCGAAGGGAGACAGCCCCGTCTAGAACGCTTTGCCACCTGCATCTGAATTGGGAGGAATGCCGTTCAGTTGAGGGAAGACAAAAGCTAAAGTTTGGCATTGTTACTCCAGGGCTCCATCACTATCAAGCGCCCATTCTGTAGGGGACATCATATCGTTCTCTTAGAAAAGAAATCAAATGGAGTTGCCGTTCCTCCAAATTCCACGCGTGCTTAGCCTTTCTCCCTTCCGTGAGTGAAGTTCCTGTAGAGCTGAAGACTAGGGGAATTCTGCCCCAACCCCAACCACTCGCGGGAAAGAGCGCTGGGGGCCAGCCCCCAGCTGGGGCAGGCAGGGTGAAAGCCCCTTTATAATTTGTCTCTCTGGGCAAAATTTGTTGTTTGCTGTATGTGCTTTTTTGTTCCAGTTCATTTTTTTTGTTATTCAAAAAGTGATCTTAGAAGTTCCTGTAAACTGTCGTTTTTAATTAGACCTTAATGGACATTATGATTGCTACGATAGTAACTCCTAAGTATAGTATAGGTTGATGTGATTTATTGTAAAAGATCTGAATATCTTCTAAAATCCCTTTGGGGGGAAGGGGAGGAAGGATAAATTTAAATGACGGTCAGTGGTTAACTGTCTATTGCTTAAATGAAAACGTTTTCTCTCCTGGCTGGAGTCAGCAGGCATTAGAAAGAAACTAAGGAAGTTTAAGAAAGTACTTAGTTCTTGGCAAAGAAATGCAAATGTTTTTATTTACATATTGTTAGCATCTCTTTTGCACCAACGCCTCCCAGAAAAAGGAAAGAAATCTAAAATGAAAGGAAATTGAAACCAAATCCTATCAATTTAAGAACCTACTGCATCAGGAATTGAGCAGCAACTCTAGAATTTGTGCTTGCTTCCCCAGGATCAAACCCCAGTCAGCTTTCAGGGGCCGACCATTCTCAGACGTAGGCTTTGCATATTTTAGCCCAGAGCCAGAAGCCTTGGCTGACTTCCAGGCTGGTGGGCATGCTGCCATCTTGATAGATGTGTTTCTGAGAGGGCAGAGAACAGTTCAGCTGGAGCAGGGCACTTGGCACCCCAGGCATAGCAGACCACTCAGGACCAGATGGGGAGGAGCCCCTCCTGGGAGTGAAGCATCCGGTGCTGCCTTGGGAGCTGGGTAACCATGGGGCAGATACCTGCTGCTTAGATGCAGCCAAGAAGAGGGGCCCTCCATGACTTTTCTACTGCAGCAGCCCCAAGTTCATCCTGGAAAAGGAATGGAAAGCATTTTCTAGCTACACACCAGCCACACATTTATTTAGACAGTATACTTGAACTTCTAAAGAGATTGTGAAGATAATAGCATCAGCATAGATGTCAAGACTCAGGCTTTCTTCATTAGCATTTTTGATTGCAGGAAGGGGTCAATCAATGGGAGGTGACCTTTTCTTCAGGGAGTGTAAGCTCTTTGGTATAAAGGAGTGTAAGCTTTGATGCTGTTTGTATCCCTCACTCCTGTCCTAGAGGGGTTGGAGGGGCTCACCCAAGAAAGTGCCCCAGAATGCACAGGGTGTTCCATTCTGGTGTTCTTCCAGATGTCCCATCCCTTCATGGACAGTGGGTGTTGGAGATGTGACAACTGGCTCTATAAAAAATATATAAAATAAAAAAGGAACAAAAATAATAAATAAGCCCTTACAAGTAAAAAAAATTAAAAATAAAAATAAAAAAATACAAAATGCCTGCATGAGGCTGGGATGTACTGCAAAGCTACTTTGCAGAGAATTCAGTTTTGCCATTCAAACCAACAGGGATCCCTCAGAGGTCTTTGCAGGATAACTTTTAGGACAGTGCTGCAATCAGAAACCCTGCAGAACTGTTGGCATCCAGATTGCTGTTGTCACCCCAACATTTGTTTCATCAGGGCTGGAGTGGTGAGGCAAATGTCCAGTCCAAAAAGGACTCCCCAGGGGACTTCCAAGTGACCCACCCCCCCCCAAGTCTTCCATGGCTCCCATCTGCCCCCTGCTGGTGGGTGAGGGAACACATGGAGGCTGAGAACATGCTAGACTTTGGCATCCTATCTGCTTTGTAAAAGCAGTAGATTTCATTTTTCAAATCTTGAGTTGAAGCAGCTACCATTCACATGCTACTGGTGTTATAGAATAAAACTTTATCTGTGTGTTTTGTAAACTTACCTGAATGATATTTCCACTTAGGTGTGACTTGGTTACAATAGTAAGATTTTGGAAAGACCATAATTAAAGATCAATGACTATCACATCTTTGTCTCCCCTGGGCTTTTCAAGGAAATGGCAGTGAGTCTGAGGAAGACCGGGGTGCTGGAAGCATGGAGAACCAGGCCCTTACTAGCACACACCGGGTGCCTGATACCAAATTCAGTCCCCTCCACACCAAGATGGACATCATCAGGAAAGGACATGCCAAGGACAGCCAGCGCTACAAAGTCGACTATGAAGCTCAGAGCACAGACACCCAGAACTTCTCCTCTGAGTCCAAACGAGAGACAGAATACGTGAGAGCTTTCTCTTACAGGTTGGGGCGGGGGGTTGGGGGGGGCCCTCACCAGGCCTGAGCACTGAAAGTATCTTGGGGGTTGCTCTTTACTCAAGAGTCTCTCAGTAAATCCAGGTGGCCCACCTGGGGTGGACAACCACACCACAGGCTATTTATACCCTTTTACCTCTCAGATCTCAGAAGGGTCCATGGTCAAGGTCAAACTTGTAAAAGCACTTAGTGTGCTTGACATGCCTTTCTGATGCAGAGAAACGGGACTCAAAAAACTGACATTATTTTATTCACTGACCTGAGTGGCCTGGCCTATTGTGACTGTTTCCTGTTCTGGGCCTTGCTCTGAAGGGATCATGAGAGAGATAAGGAGGCACGATTCCCATCCTCATGGGAAAGGCAACAAATAAGTCAAAAAATTAAGGCAGAAGATATTTGAGGACACATGGCAGGCCCGCCTGTGATGGCTCTGTGGGCAAATGGGATTTTATAAGACACTAGAGTTCCAGTGTGACTGTGGCTCCTCCCCAGGGACCCTGCCGCCGGGAGATGGAAGACATGCTGAACCACCTCAAATTCCTGCACATGCTCAGCCCAAGGGGTGTCCACATCCCCAACTGTGACAAGAAGGGCTTCTACAAGAAAAAGCAGGTAAGCCATGCTGCCTAGGTGAAGTTCACCCTATACCCATGTTCTGGCCCAGCCCTGGCCCCTCACCTGTTACAGTGGCAGGAGATTCCACTAAATCCCCTCCACTCAATGCACTTCCTCTGTCTGTGTCTCCCTGTCTGCATCTCCCTCCCAACTCCAGAGCATGTGAGGTACCACCTGGGGAGCACTCTGCCATGCATAGAGGGACACATTGACATGTTAGCTGATATTGCACCATGGAGTAATACGGAGCTATTATAGAGAACCTCCAAGAAAGGTGACACGAGCACAGAAAACTCAGATCTCATGCTGACCCCTTTTACATTGCGGCCTTCCATGAATAGTAAACAGTCAAACACATTTGAGAAGCAGTTATTTTTAAACTATAACAAGTGCGCTTCGGTAGATTACATATTATTTGAGGGTGACATTTCAGTCAGCTTTCCTACTAGGCAATTCCTACCACAACATCTGCAGAATTGGCCATGGAATAGGATGGCCACACTCAAGTCAGGTGGCCATCATCTTCAGTGACCATGGATGGGTCTCTGGCCTCTTTAGCACTTGTCACTTGGCATTTTCTATCAGTCATTATTCAACAGAACAGACATTTATTCTCATGTTCTCTTCACATATGTTTATTACCCGCTTACTCTGCAAACTCCCACTGAGAAGTAACTGCATGTATAGCTTGGATTGTTTGCAGAAAGACACAGTTGTGATGTTCGTGGGGTCAGTGGAGATGTTTTCATTCCCTCATTAGGGGTCATGCCTATGGCACCAATAGGGTCTAGTGTCTCCCCGAGACCCCAGGGACACAAAACTGTCCCCTGCTTTTCTGAAAAACTAATACACAAAATCACTTGCACCTGCTTGGTATAGTAGAGCTGTTCTGAAAACATCCTGGGAGCCCCACAGCCCGCACTGCCTGTGGCCTATGGTCAGCCTCCCCATGCATCCTCCTGAGGGGTTCACTGTGGGTCTTCTGTGCTCTGCCCACAGTGCCGCCCTTCCAAGGGCAGGAAGCGGGGCTTCTGCTGGTGTGTGGATAAGTACGGGCAGCCCCTTCCAGGCTACGACGCCAAGGGCAAGGGTGACGTGCAGTGCTATCACCTGGAGAGCAAGTAGTCGCCACTGCAACCATGTAAGCACTGGGTGTGTGGGGGCTCGGAGGGCAGCAACCCTGGGGGATGATGAGGGGTAAGCTGAGGACAGCCAGGGCTGGTGAGCCCAGGAGCCGCACCACCCAGGGGGACAGCTCAGGTGGGTCATTCAGGAGGTGCGGGGAAGGCCACCTGACCCAGCTCAACAAGAACAGGGAAAGATACTCCCTTAGTTATAGAACTTCAGACATGAGTTCTGTGTCTGTGCAGCGTGGAGATTTTCAAAGTGAAGCTTTTTCCACTGCCAAGGACATGACCAGCAGCTGATTTACAGCCTCAATTTATATTTCTTTTTGTGGTGAATTGATTTTTTGATTGTTCCTTTGTGGTCACAGGTAAACAGTTCTAATCCAAAAGAATTGATAAAGGAAGGTATTTCTAAATAAAGTTGTGACTGCCTTTTTCCCAAAAATTATATTATGGATAATTTCATAGTCTGTGATTAATATGATTTTAATGAAAGGTAATTTGACTTAATAAGAAAATGAAGGTTTATGCCGTTTTGAAGAGTGCTCTCATATTCAATATTCATTTTGTTTTTAGTAAGTGAGATTTTATTGGGAGAAAAGAATGAATACACATTTTCCTTTATCTTTCAAGACAAATTTAAGAAAATAAAAGTTTACTTTTCGTGATAAGTTTTCTTCCCTTACAAGTTAAAGAAACAGCATTCTACGATGGTGGATATTCTATCAGGACTACATGAGAAAAGAAAGCAAACATTATAAGAATAAAAAATAAATTAATTTTTAAAAAAAGAAAGAAAGAAATAGCATTTTAGCTTCAGAGCAACTGACCGAGCACCGAGAACATCTTCCGGTGCCCTTGGTCTCATGGAAGCTGCAGGATAAGCCCTGTCCACCAGGTGCCCGGTGACCTGCCCAATCATCTGGAGCATGAATTGAGCCTTTTTGATTTGGAGGCAGTTATTTCAATGTGCTGTTTTTTCTTTTTGTTTTAGTTAATGTGGAGCTCAATACGCCTTATTTTGCACAAGCCACTGCCAAGGACATGACCAGCAGCTGACTACAACCTCAATTTATATTCTTTTTGTGGTAAATTGATTTTTTGAAACCAAAGTTTAGAAAGATGTTTGAAATGCCCAGGGTTCTTCTCAATGGTGAACTTGAGTAACTCACTGCTTTCTAGTAGTCCGTGAAACACAGTTTGTTTTTTCTTGTTGCTTCCTGTAAAAATATTTGTCAACTCAAGGACAGGGGAGCAGATCTCACACCCCCTGGAGCTGGCTCTCCCTGCATCTCCTCTGAAGCACTGGCCAGTACTTCCTGACTTAGCGACTGTGTTGCTTATGCAGAGGGTGCCTTCATTCCCACTCTGTACAAATGAACACAGACCTCACCAGGAGCAGAAGCGGCCTGCACTCTGGGGGCTGCACATGCCACAGCCCTACCTGGAGCTTATATCTCTGAAGCAAGGCTCCTTCAACTTAGAAAATATTTCATACCTTCAAGTGGCCTGTACTGCCTGGAACTGGTGTAGGAAATAAGGTGGAGCCTTACTTATTTAAAAAAAAAAAGACCAAGAATGTTGATGAAGACAACCAGTGAATTGTCTGTGATGGTGGCTCCACAGGGTAGGGGGCAGGGTGAGCCCTTCCTTTTCAGAGGCATTAAGAATAACAGCGTGGTTGTATGGAAGGCTGCTGAGAAAGAGTGTTTTCCAGCTTGACAGTTCAAGACAAAATTAATTGTTGAGATAAACTCTTTAAAGGCAAAGAAAGTTTGTTTTCACCACTACCTTTTTGTCCTCCTTGGCGCAATGTAAACAATAATAATAACTTGACCTAACCAGGAAAAATAAATGGCTTGTTGGAGGCTCTGGGAGGGCACGAGGGGCACAGAGTCACCTGCTTGTTGCACTTGGTCATCCTCCCACTTTTCTATCTAATTCACACATATACACAGAGAACACGTTCTTCATGAACTGTTAACATTGTAGACATCATAGTCCAAATATGATAGGACCTGTACTCGCTAATCCTAGATGAGATGTTATCATCCTAGATGAGATGTTATCGATATAGAGAATGTAAATACTAGAGAATGTAAATACAGCCATGGAGGGAGGGACTGCTGCCCTGCTGGAGGCCAGCCCTCCAGGTCTGACCAGTGGGTGGGGAGCAGCCCCCAGGGCACCCCGCCCTGGAGACACCCTGCACACAGCCCCCCTTGAGAATACAAAGGGGTCTGAAAACATTCTGCCTACCTATTAGCTTCTCTTTATTTTTTTAATTAAGTTTTTGAGAAAAAAAGGTATTTTTGAAAAGTTTTGTCTTACAATGTATTTATAAATATTAAATAAAGTTTTTACTAGGAAGAAATGCCTCTGTCCTTGTTAGTGAGTGTATTGTTAATGCAATAATCCCAAAAGGATAAGACACTCAACGGGGAGTAGAAACCTTTCCTAAGTAAATGTCTTTCTCTGCTTCTACTTCTCATGAGAGAACCCAACCTAGAAAGTGCTCAGATCATCACTGGGTTCGTTGAGGCACCAGGAGGGTCCCAACTGCAGTGAACCCTCGGTGAGCCTGACCCAGGACAGGAGCAGGCAGGTGGGAGCAGAGTAGCGAATGAATCTGGCTCTCACCGCTTTTCCCATCTGTCCCATGCTGTCCTCACACCAGAGGCGTGACCTTCAAGGCTGAACAGGACAAGGGGTAGGACAGACCAGACCATTCACTCCAAGTCTTTTTTCCCTGTAGCCTTTTCGGCCCTCTGCTTGGAGAAGGGAAGTAGACAAAAGCTGGAGGTGGAAGGAGACCCAAGGAGACACTGGGTGGATTATGGGGTCTCAGTTTGTTAGAGAGTGGATACTTGTGGGTCTGGGTATGTGCGCTGGTCAAAGAATAACAGCTGCCACACCAAACGTGAGAGTAAGCAAGTGTGGATTTATTGAAGCAAGGTGAAAGAACTGACAGCGGTTGCGGGGGTGAAGGGGGGCAGGGGAGGATGCCCATTTTCTCCAGCCCAGTCCATGACCATATACCATCAGACTTCCTGTTGCCCAATGTGCCAGACTATTGATTAGGCACTAGGTGGTGGGAAGTTTCCTGACGGTTGTTTTTCTGTTTCTTAATTATCCTGTAACCCAATCTTACCCTAGGTGGTGGCTAGTTTGGCAACATTGCAATAAAACACATCTATTTTCCTGGGAGCTGTTTTGTCACTTCTGTTCCTGTGTTGTTTAAAATCACTGTCCCTTTGTTAGGGGGAAAGGATGTTCTGAGCTAATTCCATGCAGGCTTTGTGGACCCCACCCCCACTCCAGACCAAAGCATCAAGACATTGGGAAAGACAAATCCCGTCACCACCAAAGGGAGGGTGGCTGGGACCTGAGGGTGGAGTTAAGCAGACAGGTTGGATATAAAAACCAAACACATGGGTCTTGGGGGCTCTCGCTCTCGCTCGCCTCCTGGCTTCACGGCTCCTGGGCCAGCTCTCAGAGTGCCATTTGGGATTCCAGATCGGCGGATCGGGTGGGACACATTTAAAACTTTGTCTCCCACTTTTCTCCCTGAGCTGTACATTTCCTCATTTCCCCTTCCCTTGTAAATAAACCTTTTATTAACTTTTCACGTGTGCCTGCAGTAGAGCATTGATAAGTCCTTTTAAGCGCGCGGGTGAGGACCCACAGTCAGGCACCCTGTTTTGTATCAGGGCTGTCCTGTAACAGTTTGGCACCTCAGCCTTTCCTATTCCCCCAGCTCTCCTGGTCTCAGTGCTTCTCAAGTTCCTTCTTCACAGCCTTGGAATAACTCCCTGGTGGTGGAGCTGCTGCAGGAAAAAATCTGAGCCTGTGTCCTTGAGACATGGAAGAATAAACTGTCTATTAAAGAACTTGCCTAATAAATACCATTTAAATAAATATCCAAGATGGTCCCCTACCACAGATTATTTGTGGAGTATATTTTATAAATGTTCAGAAAAGAGTGAGGGTGGTCGTCTGAGGTTGTTAGGGTACTTGGGTCCCTCTGAGAAAGAATTCAGCAGACGTTCCCATTCATCAGCACAAGGCAAATTTTATAGAGGAAAAAATAATGGAAAAAGGACACTTGCATAGACACAGGTGCAGGGGAGCTGTTTTGTGCCAGAGCAAAGGGTGTTCTTTAATGAAATTATTTGGGATTTATCGCAATGGGGTCAGGTTGGATTGGTCTGTGATTGATAATCCTCTCTGCTCCCACCTCTGGCTGATAATCTTTTGTGACCCCACCTCAGATTCCTGGAAACTTCATAGCTGGTTTAGTTTAAAATTCATGAATTGTCCCTATCCCCAACTCTGGTATTTGTCCTGGGAGATTTTCCATTCTAAATTTTTTCTGCTCTGAACTTCCATCAAGATCACACAGGAAGCCAGAAAGAGAGGATAAATCCTTCAGGGTACTTTATTTGCAGGAGCCAGAGAAGGGAGCTGAACTGCAGAGCAAGATCATGGAGGAGGGCCTCCCTGGTGGCTCAAGAGGTTAAATTTCGGAACTTCAAAGCCATCTGCAGCCACTGCAGCATGAGTTTGATCCCCTGCCAGGAAGGTGACCCACATGACACAGCAGACTCCTCCTGACTCTCCACTGCTGCCCTCAGCAGTGTATTTCAGTCAATCTGCCTGTTCTGCTCCCCACCCTGCCTCTGGTAAATCCTTTCACCCCTGTGTCTTTGGCCTGCACCCCAGCTCTTATATGCATAAATAAATATATCTTTAAAAATATCATGAGGAGACAGGCACCAAAGGGCTAAGGGTGCATGGGACTGTTACTGGGTCCTGTAGACTGGTGTTTTACAGCCACCTGCCTGGAGAGTGGTATTCATTGGGGAAACATGGCAGTTATTCCCTGCTTGTGCCAAAGGCTACTGCGTGTAGGCATTCCAGCCCTTGAGTAAGCACTGGCCAAGTTGAATGGTCCAGCCAGGAGATGTCAATAGGGGAGGGGTGCCTCTTGAAAAAGAATATAAGGAAGCTTGGGGGATCCCCAGATCTATCCCCAGCCTAGATTCCATGTACTCTGTACTTGCGTTAAAAAGAAAAGAGCTTCCGGCAGCTGGTCTCCAAAGAGAGAGAAGCTGAAAACTCTTGCAGGAACCAGGAGACTGGGCCTGCCTCTGTTCTTGTCGCTGTAAACACCTGGGAAAAGCACTGAAGGCACCAGGCCTGTATCACAGAGAGCTGCTTATAAGGTCTTGCAGCACCACATTTTGGAGCTGCTGCCTTTGCTGTTGTTGCAGCATTCCGTGCTGTTCATCCAGACCTTCAGACTGCTGCTTCCAGCTGCTGGAGCATCATCTCAGTGGGCCTGGCTGTGGGCACCTCTGGCAGGCTGGCCCCTTCTTGGATAAGCAGCCTTTGTTTGGGACTTCTGAACACTGGACTCTAGGAGATAGCCAGTCACGTGTGGCCTTCATAACTACTTGTTTCCCATGTTTGTTTAATAAAAACCCTTTGTTATTGTTCCTGAACCTGACTAGTAAGGTCTTACAACAATGCATGCAGGTGAAGAACTCAGACAGTGACCTGTCCTCTACTGGCACTATCCTTGGAAGTCCTTTCAGACATATTTTAAAAGCGAAACAATTGATTCAAGAGCTTCGTATGATAGCCCTGCTTCAGGGCCACCTGTAAAACACCTTGGTGGCTCCATGGTGGCTGGAGACCAAGGCCAGCTACTGCAAACTATAAGCTACACATTGTTGTGGGGAAGAATCGGTGTAGAACAGGGGCACTGTGGCAGCAGTGAAAGAATTCACCAGAGGCAGAGTGAAGAACAAAAAAGGAAGATCTATTAAATATACTGATAAGAGAAGCAGTGGCCAAGGCCGTGTAGAGAATGAGGGTCCCAACTCCAGGCATCATAAATAGGTTTGTGTGACTAGTCTTGGGTGTGTCCTGACTCATGATCCAGTCAGCTTAATGGATCATCAGCTTAAGGGCCCAGTCCCCAAGGCAGTCCCACCCACTCCCTCTGTCTTTTCAAGCCTCCCAAACTTGCTTGCTAGGAAGGAGCAAGGACTTAGTTTTTAAATTTAGTAATAATACCACAACACACCTGATGCTGGCTCTTTGCATCTACCAGCCTTGCCTCCCTGGTAGCATAATTGGGAAGTACCAAATTTTATGCCCTCCATAACCTCTCACCTCTGTTTTATTCATACCTTTGGTCATCTTTCCTTCTAAATACTCTCATGTCTGTTCAGTGCAAATTGTAGAGTTGTCCCCAGCTAGACCCTCAGAGCTCATTCTACTCTCCCAGCTTCAGCTTTCATCAACCGCAAACATCATATGTTCCCACCGCTATCCATGTAGAAGTGAGCGCACAAGGTGCTGGCTCTCTGGGGTCAGGGCGATGCAGATGCTATGAATGACTGACCAGGGGTCCACTATCAAATTGACACACTGGAAAATAGCAATCAACTACACTGATGAGGGAGTCATGAAACAAGTCTCTGCTGTGGCAGCCTGTCCAGAAAGACACCTCCTCATATGAACCTCTTGAATCAATTATTTCTCTCTTTTTTTTTTTTTTAAATTGAGGTTCAATTGTTTCTTTTCAGAAACGTGTCTGAACGGCATAATGGAGATGTGAGCAGAAAGCACAAAAACATCTAACCTGAAATACATCCATAGACGGAATATTATGACACAGCTAAAATGCTGTCAATGTTAATAATATGAAGAAATGCTTATGGTGGGTTGGAAGAGCAGAATGCAATCATACATTGTGCGCATACACACACACACATACTTACACTATCATGTACATAAAACTAAAAGGAAATACACTAAAATGTTAACCCTGGTTATAGAAACATAGGAAAGTTCCATATTTTATTTCTACTTTGCTACAATTCCAACAATTTCTGTGGTGAACACAAATATCTCCCTTTTTATTCAGTAAACCATGCGGCTTGCTTGCTGCCTCTATTCAACCCCCTACCCCCCACCCACCACCCACCACGTCCCCACCTCCCAGTGTCTGAGCAGGGAGACCATCAGCCACTGGGCATCTTCCCTTGGAGCCAGGCTTCTCCAGTTCCCACTCCAGCACCCCCACCCCCACCCCAAGGCTTTGCCACCTCCCAAAACCTGGAAATAGTACCACATCCCACCTACACACCCAATCACATACAATGAAAAGGTGCAAAATCACTCCCCTTATAGAGAAAGACAAGCGACAATATTAGCAATTGGATATCCAATGGTCTAGTTTTAACGCTAGGGAGAAAAACATAAATGGGGGCACAGAATGTCCTGGGTTGCTGTTGCTGTTTTATTTTTTCTTAATTTGGTAAAAGCTACTTCATGAAGGCTTCATTGAAAAGGTGACTTTTGAGCAGCTTCAAGGGGAGCAAGGAAGCTAGCTGTCTGACACCTAAGGGTGAGCCATTCCAAGCTGGAAGTGCACACAACATAGGTGACAAGAAAAATAAACAGGAGCTGCAGGGGCCGTGTGTGGAAGTGAGTGTTCGTGGGAGAGGGGAACTGAGGCCTGGGCAGGTCAGGTCAAAACCCTGGGAGCCGTGGCATTTGTGCTGACAAATTGGCTGACAAATTGTATAGAGCCCACCATGACAAGACACTCCAGCTGTTCAGAAGTGAAGACCTTGAGCCACAGATCATGCTGGATCAGAACAGCACAGCCAGAAGGCACCTGAGATGGGGTTGAGCCAGAGCATGTTTTAAAGATTGGGCCCCCATATTTGTGGACAGCTAGGATGTAGTGGGTGAAAATGCCAAGAGTGATAAGTTGAGCAACTAAAAGCAGAGTTTTCAGTCAAGAAGCCACCAGGAGAAGGCAGTTTGGAGGAAATGTCAGGACCTCTGCTCAAGTTAAGGCTGAGTTACCTATTAGATGCCCCCTCAGAGACACTGCAGTCACCTCCTCAGAGTAGCTGTGGAAGAGTCCTAAAGGCGAACTTCAAGATCATTGGAAACAGAAGCCCCAGCCAGGGGGAGGCTATATTTTAAAGGGGAGAAGAATGCACAAAGGCACTGATGTGGGCCCAGGGCAGGAGGCAGGCAGTGGTGCTGCAGCATGAACCCATCAAAAAAGGTGCTGCTGTACCCTGGCCTCTTTGGAGCCTCTCTGTGCCTGGAAGCAATCAGTACCTGCCCCACACCTGAATAAATGTTGGTTCAGGTGTCCTGAAGGTGTGAAACACAAGTAGGGCAGAAACCCTGCCTTTTTTTTTTAAGATTTATTTATGCATGCATACAAGAACTTTGACGGAGACCAGTGATGCTCTGCCAAGTTTGGATTATCCCTTTCCTGCATCCCTCTCCACACCTAGGAAGTGCCCATCAAAGTGTGCCCTCCCAAAGTTCCTCTCCCTGGGGGAGGGCGGGTGAGAATGACCAACTGCAGACTTCAGGTGCTGGGGCACATGGGTACCTGTGCCACTGTGCCCTTGAGCTTCAGTGCAGACCCAGACCCACATGGGTCACATGAAAGAGCACCCAGAGAGCCTCTGGGGCAGGAGCTCACAATTATGAAACAAAGAGCACAACAATATCAAAAAAAAAAAAAAATTAGATTCATTTCTGGAAATGAAAATAACTGGTATAAAAT